AGTTTAGAAGCAGGAATATCAGCAGGATGTATGCATCTTTCTAGCATCACCTGGGCTCTTTCAATATAAGTTGCTTCTATCAGGCTTTGCCATTCTCCAGCAGTGAATTTTGGAAGTCCTCTCTCAGGAACAAAGAGTCCTCCATCAGGGGCTAAGCCCTCAATAACAACATCACTGAAATATTTACAAGAGTCTTTTTCCATACTCCTTCCAGACCTACTAGACCTAGTCGAAATGAAAGTTTCCAGTTCTGAGTTTTGGTATCTTTTCACAGCATCAAGTACCTTTTCTGCTACAACCTCTGCTGCAATACCCTCTCCACAAAGAACACGGATGTCATGCCACCTTTTGTAGAACTGCTTCCTATACTGAAGTATGTCCTTGAGAGAAATACCAGGAGACTGTCCCACGATGCGATCCACTTTCATTGATTCCAGCCTGCTCATAATGACTGTTGTGGGCACATCCAGATATACAACTATTCCATTTTTCTTCATATGCTGCATGCTGGCAGAATGCATTGGATTGGACCCAGTAAGGGAAATGACACTTCCAGATGCAGAAAACTTCAACAGGGCTTTTCCTTCCTCCTCTAAAAACTGCTCATTACCAACATCCTGCAGTTTTTCTGACACGCTCATATTCCAGGTTGTTTCAAGGACATCATCATCTATATCTATGACAGGGCAATCTAGTTTCTGACCTACTATTCTCCCAACTGTTGTTTTCCCAGCACCCGGAGGTCCCATCAGGATAATATTTTTGTTTCCAACAAGAGAATGGCTTGAGAACCATGACTTCCATATGTGTGCGAATGCAACAGGTCTTGAAAGCATAAGTTTAAAACACATCCTAGAAAGATTGTTTCGTGTTACCAGTCTTAAAGGCCGATACTGAACAATGTGAAACATCATCTTCTGCTGGGTTGTTGGTTGTTTTTTTCAAGCCAACTTGACAATCCACTTAACTGCTTCAAAAAGAAAAAAACCAGTAATTAGTCCTTCAGCAAACATCTAGGAAAAAACCTAAAGGATATGACATTCAGAACAACAAGAATTTGAACATAAATCCAGTTATGATGTCATCAGTGCCAGGGAGGTATTTTTCAGAATAAGACTCATTCCCCTCTCCTGCATAGCTCCAGCTCGCTTCCACTGACAAATCCAACTTCAAACAGTCCACGTCCTTAGGGTAAACAAAGACAACCAAACCCAACACTACATTACTATTTGCAAATAATATTGTTTACAGGAACTCAAAACCAATTAGTTTTTCCTCTAGTGGATCTACTTTTAAGTATGCGTTTACAAATAATGAAGATTAACTAAATTACCTTCCTGTAATCAAAATGTTAACAAAATATGCATTTTTCCCACCTCTCAAGATGCCTTTGATTTCTTATATTGTCTTTCTAAAAAAACATAAATGCAAGACTGACTTAAATACACAGAAAACTCACAGACTTGTGCAACAGCAAGGCTGGCAGAGTTGCATCCAATTCTCTTCTGAAGAGATAGCAAACCAAGCGAGTGATTTGTGAACTCCTCTAACAGAAGCTTATTGAGTGTAGTTTGTGTAAAGTGAGAGAGAGAGAGAGAGAGAAAACATGTCATGAAGACACTCCACAATCAAAAAAAAAAAAAAATATCACTAGGAAAGTTGGATCTCCAACAAAGATTAAGCAAGAACCTCTCAACATGGCATTTTGTTTCCTTAGAGAAATCAACACCAGCATAAGCATGAATTGCAGCACATTATTTGTGTGTGTTTAGAGCAAAGAACTCTCAAAATCTCCATAAAGGGGTGAGAAGAGGGCAGAAATCAGTACAAATTTGCACAGAAAATCCCTGAGTCATTCTTCATTTTAAGTAGTCAAACAAGTATGACTTTGTTATTGTTATTTATTCATTGTTCATGACTAAAAATGCTTAAAGAAAAGCAACACTGAACTTCCTTTTAGGAAATTAATGAAATTTTAGATGTAAAAATCCACCTCGGTGCTTACTCATCAATTCTAAAAAAAAATATATATATTTTTACATATATTTGAAATATATATAAAATCAGCATGTTTTAGCAATTATTACTTTTAGTTGCTATAGTATGCAGTACAGAGATGGTTGACTAAACTGCAAGTTGCACTTTTTTTTTTTTTCCTGGCACTGTAACAGGTAACCAAAATGATAATCAGCAACTCCTAATAACTACATTTCAAAGACTCAATCTAGCTGCTAGCATCCCAGCACTTGCTTTGCAATGGTTTGGGTTGGGGTTTTTTTTTTGTTTATATGCCAGCTACTTTTACCAGTGAAAAAAAAATTTAATGAGAAAGTGTTTTCCCACATTAATCAAGACAAACTAAAATGAAAGGAATTCACTAAAGACTAAGTTTCCAAATCCTTCAGTTGTTCAGTGCCTTTCCTCTAGATGCTCTCCATCCAATAGCCTCTTATCACTGTGGAGTGCAGGATGAGGCCTGGAATTGCAGTAGAAGGCACACGAGCGCCAAATGGGAACTGCATCTTCTTCCAAAGACCTACTCATGATTAACCCAGTTACCACACGACCCTGCCGTTCCCCATCAGTGTGCATAATATCAAAGAACTCCAGAGACACAGGTCACAAGCTTCAAAAATCACACAGAAGGTGAAGTTTTGTAAGAGCAAACCACAAAACCAAAGACTCTTCACTTCCAGATGCTCCTTGCTCTAGACTCTGCTCTGTGTTCCCCGTACTTTTACTCTTTTACACTCTACTTTCTTTACCAAACTATTAGCATATATTACAAAGTCAAACCTCTTTTAATTATTTAAATCTTTGCATTTGCTCACTTCTGTAAGGAGAAAGGAGCTTGCAAACATTAAGTCCCTGTGTTTGCAGCCAGTGCTGTGACAAGGGGAACATGCTGTAATTAGAAGGCATAGATGAGTAATGACGGGCATATCATACTGGACAGTTTTTCCCCAGCCTTCATAAAGTAGAAGGGAATGATCATGTGTAGATGCAATATAAGGGTTTTGTAATAATTATTAGAAAGAAAAAACGATCTGTGAAGAGTAGTTGTAATATTCAGTACCAATATAAGGCTGTACCATAGTAGTAATGCACGCGAGTGAATACAAACATAGAGCTACAGGGTGAGAAAGAGATATTGGCATTAAACGTCCAGACGTAAATAAGTTATGTTCAGGATTTTAAAAAATTTAGAGACACAATTTTAGCCATTTTATTTCCTGAACAGAAGAATCACTGCAAGTGTTATGTATGAACTAAGGGAGTACAAACCATGCCAAGCATAGCGGCCTGCCTACCATGTCTGGTTGCACTTCAGATTCACTTTGAGGTGCAGTCACTCAGTACACGCTATACAGCTGCAGGACATAACATCTGGATTGCTTTACAAATCTAGGCCACGGGGACTGAAATCCCCCCAAATTACAGCTGTAGAGAAGAAAGGAACTAGACCCAGATTTCTCTAGTTATAAGCTTAGATATTTACAGGAAGCTATAAGCAGTCTATGGTATTGTTTGAGATCAACTTGATTAATCTGGTGCAAAAATTTGCAGGGAATTTCTTTATTCAGCTGCTCAATCGGTTTAATCTATTCCAGTGTAATTCAATTTTGCACCCATATAAAGTACATGTATACAGAAGCTTGCAACCACTGAATTCAACTACTTCTTCAAAACCATTTTTTATTCAACTGGCAAAATCTTACTGTAAAAACAGCCCAAATTAGACTTTATATCACGTAGAGTTTAGCAGTCTAGTTAAAACACCAAACCATCCCAATTTAGATATAGCTAATTGTCCCAGAAGAGTGGGGTTTGGTTGTTTGGGTTTTTTTGAAGCGGAGCTTACCTCCATACCTCCAACGACATTTTAAGTTTTAACAATATACCTCAACCCTTTGCTTGGACTGCTGACAGCACCTACATATCATCCGTAAATAGTCATGGTTTTACTAACCACTGCTGACAAGAGTTGTAGCAAAAACTGAACTTTTTTGTTACTAATATAGACAAAAGTTTGCAACAACAACGTATGGTTGAAATTTAGTAACCAAACAAGTCAGTTTGCAGCTGCCACAGACCTCAAGGCAGGTCAAGACTGATAACTATCATATTTCAAAACTGTTAACACAGGACAACTTCCATTTGACTTTTCTCAGAGCTTTTGTACAGAAAAAAAAAAAAAAACAAATAAAAACCCCAGGAACCTCAGAGCAAACCATTCAGCTGCGACTGCCGCGCCATCACCCCACAGACCAAGGTCCTGCAGAGGT